CGCTGTTCGCCTGTCACTCTGCTGCAGCCCGTAAACCCTAAGCAACATGTTCTAGCGCCAGGTCCAGACGCTTCTTAAACACTCCTAATGGATGGTGACTGCACCAGCTCTCTGGGCAATGTTCCAGTTCCTGAACACCCTGACAGGGGAAACGTTTTCTAATATCTGATCTGAATCTCTCCTGTCTCAGCTTATGGCCATTCCCTCTGGTCCCTGAGGAATCCAACGCAGTCCAGCGGAATCCAATGCCAAGCAGTGCAAAGCTGTGGAGGGCTGAGCTCCCTCGCAGTCGTGTCGTGAGCACTGCAGCCAGAGGCAGTGCTGGTAGTGGCCCCACACAGTGCCTCCCCCAGACACAGGCAGCCCGTGCTGCAGGTCTGTGGCCACCGCGGGTTCCTCAAGGCTCGGATGCTGTGGCATTGGACTGGGACAGCACCATGGTGGTTCTGTGACTGACCTGCCTGGTGCCACCTCAAAAACAGAGCTGAGGAGCTGGGCAGATGGGCCACACCTTCAGGCACTCAGTCCAGCACCCCAGGGATGAGCCCAGCTTGAACTCGGGGTGTTGTTTGGGGTGATTCACTGACATCATGGGCTTTGCTTGCCTCAATGTGCTGTCCCGCTAAGCACAGAGAAGTATTTCAGGCCTGTGCACACTGAAGGGATCTTGCCAAGAATTTGTAACAGAATGAAGAATCTAAAGGATGTCAAGCAAACCCTCCTTGGCCTTTTCCCTGTGAGCCCAATTTTCCCTGAGGGGCAGTCATAGGATGGCAGCCTTTCTGCTAGGCTCAGTATGCACTGAGGAAAGCTGAGGGGGAGAAAAGATAATAATGAGTTTCTTTAGGTGTATCTGAGTGTATTAAAGTGGAGAGGTTCTCTAGAAAGATTATATTTTGGGCAGAAGGATACATCAAGCATCCATCAAGGCTTTGGAAGATACTCTGCACTACATTACCCATGGAGGGATTTTGTTATGGACCATCAAGTCACAAGAGGTTTGAATAAAAAAGCACCTTCCAGCAAAATGAAAGTGGCATCTCTCTGTCCTTCCTTCGGCTACCTAATAGAGGATGCATTTGGCTCAGTATAGCGTCATTAATAACAACAGAAGTGCCAAATGCCCTGGGTGGATGTGTGGAGCTGCAGGGGCAGTGCTGGTGTCTGGCAGATGCCACCAGGATGGGGTGGGGTGGCAGATGAGCAAACACACTGCTGCAAATGGAGCTGGATAAACCCATTTTGGTTTTATTTTCACTGAAAAAATGCTTTCCCTTGGCCAGGATGTAGCCAAAGGACGATATGTGCAAGGAGAAAACGTATAGATAGTAGAGGCAGCCCAAGAGGGATTTTCTAGCACTGTCCCTGCATCAGGAGCTGCTGCTGAGCTCAGCCTCTTCATGAGATAATAAGTGGGTTTGCGATCAACTTTAATTAAGCTTCCTCTGAATGTCCCATCTCCTTAATTAAATAACAATTTGCAGCACTGAGTCTGCCAGTTGTGATCAGTTCCCTTCTCCTCCCCTAAAGCAGTTCCTGCCTTCAGGCACAGAGATGGCTCCTGGTGTGACAGCCCCATCCCAGCCCACAGAGGAGATGAAAAAACAGGAGCAATGTGGCTGAGGAAGGAGGCAAATGGGAGCTCGTTCAGCTAAAATGCTGTGAGGAGGGTTTAGGATGCAGCAAATTAAAGAGCTTTGATGTCAGCGGGTCTGGCCTCTCACAAGGCCAAGTGCCCAACACAGGGAAGGGGGCTTGAAGAGGGATGCAGAAGTGTTTTGCTGTGGTTTGGAGCCAGGACAGAGCCCAAGGAGCCCTGTAAACACTCCTGACCTCAAATAAATTTGCAACTCAGTCAGGTTTCTGCTATTCATTTCCTTGCACTTGACCTGAAGGATGCCTCTGCTAGTTTTGCAGTGGATTACAGCTGCTTGGAGACGTAACCTGATCTGAGATTTTGGAGAAAAAGAAGCACAATAAAGCCTTCTGCTTGTCTCGGTACCTTGGGTTGACTGACACGTGGGACAGCTGTGTGATGAAGCTGGAGCCCAAGCTAACAGGCTGTCCCTACCCACAGTGACAGCCAGTGTGCCACCGAGCCAGCCATGCCCAGATTCAGGGCACTCGAGCTGGCAGCCTTTCTCAGGCTATAGATAGCTGTGCCCATCTCTGACTTGAGTCCGCACAGGGAAGCAGCAGGAGTGGATGGCTATCCCCAGAACACCCCATACCTCCTGCAGCAGCCTCCCCTGCACTTTGCATGGCAGTGGCTCTGAGGGTCTCTACAAAACTCCAATCCCCACTTCTTGCATAAACAAGCAACTTAGAAGAACCAGGGGATGATGGAAGCCTTGTCTCCAAGCAGCAAGCAGGGAGGCAGGACCTGGCATGACGCTCCTTCTCTGTGAGGCACATCACCTCCTGCTGCCAGGTGGGCTTTCATCCTTTCCTCTTGGCACAGCTCTGCCTTGTAAGTCTCTGTTTGCATCAGGTGTTTGCAGAAGTGCAGCTTTCCCATGTCAGTGTGTATGGTGGCAGGGGCCCACATCTTCTCTCTCTAAGCAGACAGAGACCCTTTCTTCCACATCCCACCTGAATTTCATCCCAGCTGCTTCAGCAGCACAGCCACAACCTTTTAAAGGCAATGTTAGAGCTCCCACTCTGCATTGACCCTAGATACATTCTGACACATCCCAGGGGCTGTTTTCAGAGGAGTGACTCAGAGCCATCACCTGCCAGGATGGAGGGACAGGGCCAAGCGGAATTCCTCACCCTGTGCTGTGGTGCCTGGTAGTGCCCAGTTCTGGCACCTGCTACCCTGCTGTCTCCACAGTGAAACCTAAGGGGGGAGAATCACCCAGGGGCTGGAGTTTGCCTCGGGGCAGCACTAGAGAGGTCTCTGTGGGCTGCCCAGGACTGTTTGGGTGATGGTTTGATGGTGGGGAACAGCAGGTCCTTTACCCCTTCCTTGTTCCCTCACCTAAGGACAGGTTCCAACAGCCTTCAACAAAATAACTACTTCCATTTGTAGCTTATTCTACTTTTTCTATGTTCAAGGCAACCAAAGTATTCCTATTCTGAAGACCAACTGCTTTAAAAATTAATTCCTTAAATGCAATTATTTCCCATTCATTCCATCTGCCATCCCCACGCTGAGCAGAGGCAGAGCCAGGCTGAAGCCTGTGTAAATCAAAGCAAGTGCTCATGGGACCTCAGTTCCTAACAGGCTTTGCAGCAAGTTAATCTTTCAGGACTCAAAACCTGGGAGGATGTGGTGTGAGAACACACCTCTGTGCTCACCCATGTCCCCACTTTGTGCTGGCAGCACCGTGGGTCCCTGGTTAACACCTCTTTGGCTTGGGCATTTCATGTTTTTCCTTGCAGCATGATTCCTCTTAAAGAGAGAAGGGATTTTTGGAAAAGATGAAACCTAACAGCTGCATTAATAGCATGTTCAGTTTTGTTGACCAACACTGTCATGAGCCAACTGAAGGTGAGACCTTGTCACCCTGAGATGCCAGAGCCGTCCACAGCTCCTTTGGACACAAGAGGGAGTCCTGAATCACTAACAACAGAGGTTTGGCTTTGGTTGCTGTGGATTAAAATGCTTTTCCCTGCGCTGAGAAAACACTACTCATCCCTTGGAGGCCTTCTGCATGTTTTGCTCTCCTCAATGTCAGGGTAAATCCATGGTAAATCCAGGAGTGTGGATTTTACCCATTTGCAGTGGGGACAGGTCATCTCACTGGTTGGGTGAAGTGAGTCCTGGTTTCCTAGCAGACTTGGAATTATTCCTGAAATCAAGTAGAGTTCATAGTCATCCCCACATTTTGCAGCCCCAGCTGAATGCAGAAAATTGGCAATGCTCTGTCTGCCTCCACACTTCTCTCTGTGGCATTAGTATTGCACATTCCCCCCATCCTTGGCACCCATCTGCACATGGCATCTGCTCCTCCAAGGGCATCTGCCCCATCTGCATGTCCCCCATGGGCTTGGGGACACCCAGCAGAGAGGATGGGTGTCCCCAACACCCCCTGTTCCCGCTGCCCTGGGGGACCTTTGCTGCTGGACAGGGATATTTTGGGAGATGTGCTTTTCCCGTACTACCCAATTTAATTAAGCATGGTATAATCTTTCTAACGCAGCTTCCAGGAGGAACACACGCTGGAGGTGGAGGTGACATGGTGGCATGTGTCCAGTGAGGACAGACAAGTAGCACTATGTATCAGCAATTTCGGCAGGTCCTGCTGACACCTGGCTGAAAGGGCTCGCTCGTTCCCACACCGAAGTCACGAGGAGAGCTGCAGCTGCCCGGGGCTGGGGCT